CACCAATGGGTGCTAATTAGCACGTTTCGAAGCAGAGCTCCATCACATGTATAGGTGCCCATCAAGCTCAGTGTTGGCTGCATTTAATCAGTTTCATTCCTGATTTACATTACTAAGCACATGCTGCTTCCGGCAGCAGTTTAATGACAGAGAGTGGATTTAATTAGGTTTCCCTGTATGCAAATGTAAAACAAGGAGTTTTTATCCCCATGCTGATTGGGGGAAGGCGGAGAAACTGAAATATGGTAATACAAAAGGCTCTTTATTCTGGATTTGGGAACATCATGTACATGATAAAAGCATTTGATCCTTATGTTTAATACAAACAAACTTTTGGGTACCTCTCAGCTCTTCTCTTTGCCGTTTTTTAGGAGATTGGAATTATTTCATGTTCTGCTTATTTATAGAGTTTGCAGTTTGTTATATCTAATGTAATTATGTATTTAGTTCTAGCCTCCGATGTTTACACAGAAGACTATTCTGGGAAATACTGATTTTTTTTGACTGGTTGAAATGTAATATATTTTAAGAATTTAAAACATAAAAAAATGTTTGGCAAATCCAGACTGTTTCCTCCAGTATAAGTACAATCATTACTCAAAACAACATGCCTAAATTAGGGTAGGCTTAGAAGAGGTGAATAGGAGAGAAAAGTTATTTATTTAAAACCACCTAATATCTTTTAACTTGAAGACCATAGAGAAGAAGGAATAACTATCCAAAAAACAATATGGAAAAGTTTTATGTTAACACACATTGTACCAGAGACTCTTTGGATAGGAGTATAAATCCTGCACAGTGTCAAAACTGCATAACAGTGTACACTAGTTGATATGCCTTTGAGACCAGGCTGGTATTTATGTATCCACACATCCAGCAAATTGTGGGCCCAATCCCATAAGTTCCTTAAATATGTAAAGCACTTAACTTTAATGGGACTGACTGCCTCTGTGTTTCAAGTTAAACATGTATTTGTTTTGTCAGATTGGGGACAAAGTGCTTACTGCCTTGTGGGACTCAGCCCTCAATCCCTTGTAATGTAGAGTGAAATGGACGCACCAACACTAGATGCAAACAATCCCTGCTGCCTATTCTACACTTACAGTCTGCACCAACCAGTTATTGTTGCCCAAGGCAATCCAAATTTACAATATCACATTCAGTCTCCAGGGCATACAATACTTCCTATCCTCTTTCTCTGATTTTTCAGACTTTCCCACAGGCTGTACATATGCAGAAGCAGCCAGTTTGCAAATAACCTCTAGTGAAAATCTGTTCTAACATAAGTTTCTTTAAATTAATCTGCATTTTGAGCCTATGAAGTGCAGCTGGAGAACAATTCTACACTTCTAAAAGGATTAATCCAGCCAGGTTTTGAGAATCATCGAAGATGTGCTGACTATCCTCAACTCCCACTGACTTCAGGAGGCCCTTAGTTCCTCAGAGGATTTGGCTGTGTTATGAAAGCAGCTCCCCCAGATTTCAGTGAAAACAGGACCTCTGTCAGCAAGGGAATCAAGCAAGGAAATTGAGTAAGGCCAGGTTAATGGTTGATTAGTATCACTGGGACAACACAAAACCAACTGCAGAACACTGATGAATTTGGCCCCCAATGACCAAAATCTTAACAGCTGTCTGTTTCTGATAGGTAAAAAAAATAGACACTGGGTGCATCTACATATGCAATTAGCACATAGGAATAAACTCCAGCACAGTTCACATTGGAGTTTATTGCTCCCAGGTGCAGTGTTTTAATGTGTGCCAGGGGCCGCAGCATGTTGAGATGGGGTGGAGCAGTCCCAGCTGGCAGGAAGACCTGGGGAGGGTGAGGGGTGGAGTCAGAAATCTGAAACATGGCACACTTTGGCTGATCTATACCTTTAAAATACTGAGAGTAGGGGAAAAAGTTAGGTTGCCTCTGGATACAGTATGCACTTTCAAGATAATCAAATGTAGTGGACTGAGTAGTGGACTCATCAGAGTCATAGTTAAAAGAGAGAATATACACTGGAATGTTGGTTGCAGCCTTAACTATAAAGCTGCTAGTACAAAGCTTCATGGCAAAAGTATGAGGAAGAGCAGGAAGCAGGTCAGGATACAGTTATAAAGATATATGTGTTCCTGGTGGGGCTGCTGCCTTTTTGAAATTAAACACATTTTGTGAATCATGATTTATTTGAGATTTAGAAAAACAAGTGCTGAGGGAATCATGCTGTTCCTGCAATTAAATTCTAATAAATAATAATAACAACAAGACTTTGCTCTAGAGCCAAGAAAAATCTCTTGAAAATGGGCTACTTTGACTCTGGACAAAATAAATAGAATCCACCCAGAAAACAGAATTTTCCCTGTTTTAAGCAGACAGCAAATATAATGGCCTTTTATGAAGCACTCTGAATTCAAAGAGAGACAGAACGGTTCTTGAATCATCTTTGTTTCTTGTATCTTCACATTTTTGTTAGATTAATATAACTGAATGCTACAAAATTGTCATTAAGAATTTCAATGTCTATTTTAAATAATCATCTAAATTATAACACTTTACACATAATTTGAAAACAGTAGTCACAAGAGAATTTATATTTATTGCAATAGAAGTTGGGACTGCTTTGGAGAGGGTTTAAATTAGTGGATGGCCAGGTCTCTAATTTATCTAAGTCTGAAAGAAATAGAAAAGCAAATTCAACATATTTACACATGAAGTTGTAGGCTCATTTTTTAGAGGCCTGACATGATCATACATCAAAGGGGCTTGACCTCTGGAGCTCACTGCCTATCTATCAAAATGGACTGATGCTTGTTTGCCACTCGTTTCCCTTGGAGGCCACAGAAGGGAATGTGCCATGAAAAATACAGGAAAAATGCAAATCAGGACTATGAAAACCTTGGAAAAAAAGGCAAATTTTTATCTGCTGGATCTGTTTCCCCCATATCCTTTGATTAGATATTTGATAAAGAATAAAGGCTGTAAGCGCAGAGTTGCATTTATCAATTTCTAAAAGAAGGTCAGGATTCAAATAGACTCGATGCCATGTTAGATTTTTAACCATTCATGGGGATGAGAGGGATTATGTTTCCTGAAGTATATAGTACCTGGCTGTCTTCATATCCATTATTCGTCTCACTCTTGATACTAGCCCCATGAAAAAAAATGCAGCTATATACCAAATCATAACTCTTTATCTCCTACACTGTTCTACAGTGGTCTCAAAGTCTTTTAGGTAAACATTATGGAATTTGACAAAAAAAGATCTCTTAAATTCCCCAAATCATATTTTCCAAAACTTTTATGTTCAATAAATCCCAGCATTCTAGAAGTTTGAGTCTGCTCCTGTTGAAGTTTCTGGGAGTTTGCTCACAGACTTCAGTGAGAAAAGCAGAGAGAATCAAAATAAGCACCGACTCCTCATCTGACCACAAGGGACCACAACATTCATAGAGGCTACAGGAGAAATGAAAGGAAAGATTCTATAACAAGATTTTATTTAAGATGGGAAGACTTTATTTAATGGGAAGATTTTCCCATTCAACTTGATAACATTAGGTAATTTTAATTTATTTCTGTGGAAAGAATCAGAAGATTCTTAAGTAATGCTCCTTTTCTGTAAATATATTGTTAGGGATAGAACTTGTTTTCATAAGTGTGATCTTGCTAAGAATAATTTCACTGGTTAGTAAGAAAACTGTACAACCTATGTTTGGAGCAAGTAGAGAGTTTAGTTATAAATGTTAACTCTGATTTTCTTTAATTATATTTTAATAGCTGTAGAATATAAAACATCATGCCCAGCAGACTAAAGCTAACAAAATAGAGTGAATATTATTGTTGTCAGTGAATATTATTGTACGGCAGTATTGTAAAAGGTCTTTGTTTGAAATTTAGTTCTAACTGGGTCCATCTACATATGAAATTAGTGTGCTGGAATAAACTCCCCACACTGTAGCACCCTTGTGCCCCAGCCAGCCTTGTTAGAGTCTACACATGCATTTGAGTGCAAGTAAATACTTCACCATTAGATAGTAGTTGTACTGGGCAGTATGATTCTATGGTGGAGTTAATTGGTTTACTGTGCCCTAATAGGGGTGCACATCTAGACTGTGACTCTTTACTGTAGAACTAATTAGTTAACTCCACAGTAAAGTGCACATGTAGATGCACCCACAGTATGTTGTAGCAGTAGTTAAAAGAAGCTTGTGGTTTTGGTACCTGTGCAGTATCATGTGAAATAAAAACCAAAGAGTAATGGTGGAGCACAGATAATGGATTTGAAGGAAGAGAATGTCAGTTGTAAAGCAAAAGTCTATTCACATTTCCAGCTGACTGCTGGTAGAAGCTCCATATCCTAGGAGCAAGGAAGCCGGGGGAAAGCAACACTTCTCAACCCATGCAAGTAAGACATGATGTTGGAATAGGAAGTTGATTTTCCAGGGCCCTTCTTTCCCCCTACAGGTCACATGGATTTACATCTCTGTCTTTTGCCTCTTCATGCCATGTAATCTGAGATGATGTTTTAGTTATTTCTACCAATATGGACCAGAGGATATGTTTTGGCAGCTTCTTCTATTCCTTCCCCAACCATACACCTGCAATGAGAATGGGTCTGTACAGGGGCATGATGCAAAGATCTGACAGCTTCAACTCTGCTTCAAAATTATGGCAGCTTGAGTACTCAGACATTTTATGCTGAAGACTGATCTAGCATCATTTCTTTCCTTTGCCGTGTCTGCCTTAAATTTGCCTAAGCCTGGGGCAAATGTTATTCTGGCTGAATCCACACTAGTGTAGACACGGGATCTATGTATAACACAGAAGTTTTCATTACAAGATTAATGGTGTGGTAACGGAACAATCCATCATTTTAGTTCTTTAATCACAGAGACCCTTTTCAAATAGGTGGACTTCTTTATGAATTAATTTCTTGTTTTCTCCTGTTTAATGATAAAATTCTAAAAGGCAAAATCTCAAAAATATTTTATATACTTCAGGCAGCACAACTTACCATTCCCAGAAATATCATTTCCTCTTCTCTAATTTTCTCAGTTCTCTTCTTCTGGATATAACCACGCCAAACCTGAATTGTAAACACAACTGTAATGAGATAAATGGACCTTGTTACAGTTTCCTTACTGCAGCAGGCACAGGAAAAAACAAACAGAGGAAGGAAAAACAGAATATACAATTGAAGCAATTACTCTTTAACAGGTTGCCATCTGCTGTATTTTTTTTAAAGAGGCAAGGATTTCTTAGGGTGATATAGCTTATCAGGATAGAGCTAAACAATTAAACAAATTCTGTAAGTCTGGTATTCTGTTCTCACCCTCAATACCTTACAAAGATTTTATCATAAAGCAGTCATAGTTGAAAACATATTTAGATCTGAGGTCCAATGCTCTCACTGAATTAGTGATCAGGCAAATATATATGCAGTCTAGACAAAAATACTGTAAGATGGACACATCACTGTATGGATCTTTAATTGTCAATGGTTCAATGTCTAAAGGCTCTCAGGGGTCTGTCCTGGGTTCAATATCTTCATTAATGATTTGGAGGATAGGACTGAGCAAATGACACCAAGCTCGGTGGAGTTGATATTCTGAAGTGTAGGCTTGGTATTCAGGACCTTGCTTAACTGGAAATTGATAAACTGGATTAGGATCTTCATAAACTGGAAAAATGGTCTGAATTAATTGACTTAGAACAGAAGAATCACATATATACATATAGACTGGGCACATCTACCTGAAACAATTAATGCACAGTAGACTAATTTTGTGCATTAGTGCATCATGGCAAAAGTTGTGCTAATGTGCAGTAGAATTAGTCTACTGTGCATTAGCATCACTAAAAGACCATGCACTGGCACTACTGTGCAGTAGTGCCAGTTATTACAGGTGCTAAACTTAATGTGCAGTAACAACAGTGCATTAATGTATGCGTAGACATGCCCCCCGGGGAATAACTGGTTAGACTGCAGTACTGCAGAAAAGGACCTGGGGTTTATAATGAACTAGAAGCTGACCAGTATGCTCTTGTTCAAAATCAGGGCAAGAGCATACTGCACTGCATTAAGAGGGAAGTCACTTGCAATCAAGGGAAGTGATTCTTCTGTTCTATTCAGCACTACTCATGCAGTGTACTGTATATCTGGAACCCAGTTTTGGGCACTTCCTTTCCTGTAGGATGAAGACGAATTAGAAAGAGTCTAGCAGAAAGCAAAGCAATGACTAGAGGTCTAGGAGACATGATTTAAAAGAAAAAGGTTAGAAGAACTGGGATTATTTATTCTGAAGAAGAGGAGATGGGGATGGAGTGGGGGGTTGATAACAGTCTTGAAATACCTGAAGGGTGGTTATAAATAGGATGGAGATAGGACTAGAAGCAATGGTCTTAAATTTCTGCTAGGGAAATTGTGGTTTGATATTAGGAAAAATGTTCTAGCTACAAAGGTGATGAAGCATCAGAACAGATTTCCTAAAGAGGCTATGGAATCTATCCTTGAAAGTTTTTAAGAGCAGATTAGACAAACACTTGTCTGGAAAGGCTTTGATGGGGAGCCTGGGAATGGGGTTGGATTAGAGGATTTCTTAAGGCCCCTTCCAACCCTATTTTTCTATGACTCTATATTTGAGTGCTTGCATAAAGCTACTCATACGTAAGGGTATGAAGATTAGCAGTGGCCTCTACTTATTGGCTATATTTTCTCAGTGTTTTTTTTCCCCTTCCTACTGCTTCTTTAGAGAAGGGCTCTTTGTCCACAGAAAACAGTATCTTTTACTCAAAAATACACAACTCACCTGAGATGCACTGGGATCTGAAGGTGGAGGTCAGAGAGGAAAATGTGTGGGCCACAGAAATCAGCTGTAAAAGACTGAGTAGGTTCTCTAATCCATCCCCTCACTAAAACAGGATTGTTTCATTCAATTAGATTTTAGTGCATAGTCCAGTCTCAATTGAGATGTCCTCAGTGGGCATGTCCAGATGAGCATGCACATGTGGTTTGCAATGCCTCAAAGCAGTTTGAGGTGCCACAAACCACATGTGGTGCATGTGAGCCATTTTGCCATGCTGCTAATTTGTAGTTAGGTGCCAAAATTTGGCACCAGGAGATCCTGGTATAAAAAGAAACCGCTGCTGAAAAAAGCAGTCCAGTGTATGCAGCGGTAGCATGTGCCACCAGACACGGAGCCTGAGTCATGCTTTGGCTGCTGGCCAGACTCCGAGCAGCCAGACTAGCACTGCTGCTTCCCTGGGAGGCCCTGAGGACCCCAGGTAAGGCTGCTGGGGCCAGCACAGGTGCTGCCCCAGCCTCCCCTACACCACCTGGGTCAATTTGCTGTGCACCAGAGTGTGCGCGCAAGGGTGTGCCCTGGGACAAAACAGCCATGGCACAAATATGTACTGGACTCAGGCGACAATTCAGAATTCTATGCACTATGAGCTTTACTTTTGTTCACAAGAATAAAAATAAGCATAACACATTATATCCATTCTGCCAACATTATTGTTCTTACAGATACACATTTCACCTTTTGTATACAAACTGCAGAAGCATCCAGATTTGGACTTTTCCCACTGTGGAGTCTAGCTTGTCTTTCTCTCTTTTCTTCCAGGTAGATTTGTTTCATGAATTCAGCCCTTAGGCGACCTTGCCGAGCCCGCTCAGAGATCTGGATTATTCTAATGGCTTCTTTGAAAGTCATGACCTTTATATGTTTCTTCTATAACACAACCAATAATAAATAGATAAATTAACATGTTGTTAGGATGTGCAGTTCCTAAGAATTATTTTCTAAAATCAGTTTGAAAACTTAGGTGTTACATTTATTCACTGTGTGCTCCAGTGAACTGAACAGATAAGGTTATTTTAGTGGAAGCCCTTCGAGATAAAAGTAGCCCCATTGCAAACCAGGTAAAAGTCATATGTCAGTACCATCTCATGTTAGCAAAAGATCCCTGGATGTGCCACTGGGGCATACAATTCAATTTCTGGAAAGGCAGAAAATTTTCCTCTCTTGTTTTTGACACATGCTGTTGGATATAGAACCACATTTGATACATCTGTAAATAGTTGTTATGCTAAGCAGGCTGTGCTAAACTTTTACATCTGGCTGTCATAGAAGGACAAATACAAGAATATACAAATGGCATGCTTAGCAGTCCCTTGCTGAACTATTTAATTTTTAGCATATGCTCTGTAAGTTAGATTCTTTGTAACAGCTTTCTGTCATATTAGAAGTCTTGTAGATGACAAGAAGCCTTGTAGATGTCAATATGAATACATACGCAAGAAGCAAGGGTTTTTTGGTGCTATCTTTTACTGGACCAACTATATAGTTAGGAGAGATGTTAGGCAATCTTTTGGGTACAAGGTTTCCTTCTTCAGGTCTGAAGAAGTGCAGAACATGTAAACTGTTCATTTGGGGCTCCCCATCTGGCAGATTCAACTTTAATTGGTCATTCTTTTGTCAGGGAGACGTACATGCCCAGTCATGCATTTCAGGTTATCAGGGAGGGAAATCTTATATGGAATACTGCACATATATGATACTTTATTTTCAAAGGTGCTTAATGTTATCAGATTTAAAAAAATGATTTTCACATGCACTCAAATGCATATCTCCTGTCTAAAGCCTACCTCCATGTTAAATTTCAATTTTCTTACTCCTAGCAACTACAGCTGTGAAGAAAATGCCACAACATTTTTTGGCATAAGGCACTGAAAGCAAGGGGTAATACCTATGCAACCTAAACTAAGAATGATCTGTTCCTATTACATTTCAGCAAAATACCTAATTGCATGCCTGATTTTAATCACACAAGTAATTCCACTGTAGTAATGTCAGTCATACACATGGGTAATGTACTGAACTGAGCCTGTAGTGCTATCCCTCCTGTTACTTGCACAGAATAAAATGGAGTCAGATTATTTTAAAATTACCATTTTAATCCTACTCAGACTGACAACATGATTTCTTGAAATTGGCAGAAATAAATTCATGGTATGTTTTTTCCATTGTGGCTCATCTGTCAATAATTAAATATACAGTATACTACATAAAATTATTTTCACTTTAATTTCTTTCAGGTTGGTTATAGAGAAAATGAAGTTCATTCATTCTTACAGGTACAAAAATGTTTAGTTTCAAATGACTAGATAATTACCGAATGTTTGAGTACTAACCGGTTCAATGTCTTGCAATCCAGCATTAACTAAAATCCGAGCAAGGATTTTCTCCCTCTCCTTCAGGACCTTGAGCTTCTCCTTAATAAAGTACCTTGGGATAGGGATTTCTATATGCTCCTAGGAAAGAGAAACATTCATGGGATACTTTTACAGCCCCGTCTACAACCATGTAATACCTTTTGGTTTCAGACTGATTAATTTGACCTCAGAATCCTTGAATTTAGGGAAGCTGTATGACTTGACCTGTGTAACAGCTGCTGTACCATTACTTTGCAATTACTTAGAGTTTAAATCAACAGGAACAACAAAAAATCAATTCATTTTCTGAACCATGAAAATCCAGAAGTTGTTTCTCTTTTCATTGATTTTCCCCAGCCATCCTTTTAAATTGTGCAATTATTTTTGAGCAACTATTTTGAACATTTTGGGGGACAGGGAGTCTGCTAGACATTTAAAAATGTAGAGAGAGTGACTTCCATTGAATTTAATAAACATGTTAGTACAATCCTCCACTTCAGCATCTTGGAAAACAAATCAGTTGGTTTTTTTAAATGTTCACAAGGAATTAAATACAGGTAATTCTATTAATCTTTTCTCTTCACTGTGATACCTTATGACCTCTCAAAGTTGAAAATGATTGAATATTCCTGTCTTTATTCATCTACATACTAAAAAGTCTAACTGCTCACATTTCCACTGATTATCTTCCTACAGCATTATACACTGATTCTGGAAGATGAAAGAAGCCATTCTCCTTGGCTACAATCTGCACCACCCATGAAAACATGGCAAGAAATGTGTGTACAGGCATTCAAGTGCCCTCTTGTCTGGAGTACTTCAAAGCATTGCAAGAGCCCACACAATTGATGCTCCTCATCCATGAGGCTGGTGTGAAGAGATCCCAGCATGCTTTGCAGGGGCCCTTGTCTCTGGAGGTTCCTGAGGATAGCCCAGTCCAGAGAAAAGAACTGATTAGCTGGCCACCCATGGAACCATACCCACCAAGGACTCCTTGCTCAGCCCTCGGTACTGGGCTGCCAAAGCCACAGGGCAGAGACTGGCAGCAGGGAAGGGCTCTAACACTTCAGGAGGTGGGCTTCATGGATTCCTTTTGGTCTCCACTATGGTCTTTGTGAATTACAGCAGCCAATCTCAACACTAAGCATACACAGGTTATGTTACAGTCCTGCAAGGCTCCAGTGTTGCCTCTGTTTCGGAAGAAGTGCCGAGGAGCCTCCCCTTCACTCTGGCCATCACATTTGCCATTTGTAAAAAGAAGGACCTGGACATAAACTCAATCCCCCATGGATGCTTGCTTGGTTTCTGTAGTGTCTTGTCGGTTTCTGTACTGTACCAACTACCATATTTGCCTTACAGAAAGTTTCCCTGGTTCAAGACTTGTAAAATAAACCCCCCTGATCACTGCCTTCCCTGCAGCCTGGCTTGTAAATAATGCCAGAGATGATGGTTCAGCAGAAATCAGTGTTTTTGGCATGGCAGAAGGGTCTCAGTGGCAGATTCCTGCCCCATTTGTTGGGCATGAAGGACTTTCTCTTGTCCATGAAGAGAGACAAGGTGAACAATGCACAGCAGGGGAAACACATGGCTATTTGTGGGCCAGGCTTCACTTCCTTGGGGTAGCAGAGTCTGATGTGAATCACAGTCTCTGGAGCCATGGCAGGGATACAGAGCACAGCCTCCTGGGGTGTCAGAGGATCAAGGTACATCCAGTGATGCTCCACATAACCAGACAGGTGTTACATGTGGTGCTGGAAATCCTTGTGCTGCTGAGAAGTTGCTGTTGTAAAGAGGTTCTTTGTGGAACCAACCTGCTTTTTCCACAAAAAAAACCCACTTGCACAGCTTTGCTTTTTGCTGAATTAAAAGGGTGTATTTCTTGCTAGACACGTAACACCTATCCATGGCCTTAGTCAGATGCAAAGGAAATGAAGCCCAAAAGACCTTTGAATAAATGGAAACAAAGGCACTACAGAATGGCTTAAACCCTGCTAGGGACATGCTTAGGATAGATACAGCTCTTTAAGGGTACACTGTTAGCAGCAGTCTTTCATGGCAAGCATAATGCCAAAAAAAAGTTAAACATGTCTTTCTTGAACTCCTACTAGATCTGGATGAAAATGGTTCCACTACCAAAGATTTTACTGAAGGAATAGCTAAAGTATTTAAAGCAATCAGGTTGTTGCTTTTGTTTCTATAGAAGCTTCATTGTCACTTTAAGGAGAGGCAACCATAGGGAACACAAGCAGGAGGTGAAAAAGCACTGAATCTGACAAAAAGAATACCACTGCCTAGCTCAAAATAACAGGGAAATACTCAGGGGTGGATCCAGAGGTGGTATAGTAGCCTTTCAGTTAATGACGACACAGGAACAGCAGCCAGGGATTTCTTAAGTCCCCAAATCAGCTAAGTACTTCCCCCATCCTTTTGCCACCACTTCTGCTGTCTCTGGCTGAGACTGTCTCCTAGCCCAGCTGAAGTAGGCTCTGGAGCTCCCCCAAGCCTCCAGGTCAGCTGGGGACAATTGCAGCAGAGGGCAGGGGACGTGAGAAATTGCAGGGAAGAAGAGCATGGAGGGTAAGGAAGTGGGAGGGAAGATTATTATTTGATTTAAGAGACTTTAAAAAAAAGACCTCAGCTGCTGCTGCTGCTGCTGCTGCTGCTGCTGCTGCTGCTGCAGTGGGTTCTGCCCACCCTGGGGGTGGGGTTGGGGGAGCTGGGAGTGGGAGGCTGCTCTACCTCTGCAGCACTGATGCAGTTCCTGCATCCCATTTTACAAAATCCTGGACGTGCTTCTGGATATACTGTATGATTCTGTACCTCATGAACTCTATCAAAAGAACGTATATGAAAGGCTTAGCCACCACTGAAAGCTGTTTCTGTAAAATAACATCCTGTTGAATGTGAGCAGTAATCACATTGATTGCATTTCTGGGAACTTGTGCTTCCCCACTGTGGCAGTGGGGATCCACATAAGGGAAGGCTATAAGGTGGGCTTATGTCATGGCACAAAGTTTATGTTACCTCATTGCCTATATAGAGGCTGGGATGTTTTCTGACTGTTACTGCTCTCTGCTCCTTCCAACATCTTAATTTTTGACTGGCATTCAACCTGCTGTTTCAAGCTGTCCTCTTGGTTATCTAGAGATGTTCTTACATGAGTGTCTCATTCGTGCTTTTTTTCCACAGAAGGGAAACATATGCTCTATTGTTTTCAAGTCCATAAGCAGACTTCTGTCCTGAGGGCCCTAGAATTGGTGAGATGAGCCTTTCCATACAACAGGTTCAGAAGACAATTTCTGCTTCAGCAAAATTTTTGGTTGTTAAAACACGAAGTGAGATG